CTTGAGCACTCACAATGCGACAGGCCCGGTTCTAAGCACTTGACGTGGAGGTAAGTCATTTAATCCTCCCAGAGAGGAAACTGAGGTTCAGAGAGGGAAAGTGACATGCCCAAGGTCACACAGCTGGTGAGTGGCTGAGTCAGGGCTTGAACCCAGGTGAGCTGGCTCTGGAGTCCATGCTTTTAATTACTTTTCTCCCCTCTCAACTTTCCAAGCACGGGAGGCTAATATAAATTTGGAGAATGAGCACTGGCTTGAGAGTCCCCCCTCCTTTGCCATTCCCAGTCACGTGGCCCAACCAGATTACCTTGGTGAGCTCAGCTTCCTCACCTGCAAAATGGGGATAATGATAGTACCCATTTCTAGGATTGAGGTAAGGAGTAGTAACAACAAACTTTGGGGACTGGGGCTCAGTAACTCTTCTAAATTATGAAACTGACATATGCACTTGGTAAAATAATATGGCACAAAAGGTAAAAAGGTACACAGTAAAAAAATGAGTTCCTCCTCCTACTTCTCACCTTTAATTCCTCTCCCCAGAAGTAACCACCATCAACAGCTTTTGTGTCACCTTTGGAAATTTTCCATGAATGTAAAAACAGAGAAGCTGTACAGGATGGTGGTGAAGGACAGGGGCTGCCTGGTTCATATCCTGGCCCTTCTGCTTACTAGCTATGTGAAGCTTGGCCAAGCTACTTGTCTTCTCTGTGCCTCGGTTTCCTCATCTGTAAAATGGGGTTAATAAAATCAAATACCTACTTTAGAGGGTAGTTGTGAAGATTAAATGTCAATCTATGTAAAGCGTTTAGAACATTCTCTGCCACATGGTTGTCCAATAAATAAACACAGACAGTGGATCCTCTCTGACAGACACTGAGGTAGCCTTTTGCTATCACAACAATGCTGCAAGACACCTCCTCCTTCACCTGTCATTCGGTGCAAGTGCAAGAATCTCTGTGGGATAAATTCCTGGCAGAGAAATTGCCAGGTCAAACAGTGGTGCCCTTGTAATTTCAATTAACTTTTGGATGGGTGAATCCTCACAACAGGGAGGGAAGAGGGAAAGAGGTCCACAAGGCAGTGGGGACCGGGAGGAGCGAGATGTGGTGTTGTCTGTGAGGTCCAGGGAGGGCCATGTCTGCCCCAGAAACCTGGAGGATGCAGCAGCTCCCCAGGCCCCTGGCCAGGCAGATGGAGGGTTTAATTTTACCCAGATTGTCTCCATAAAGCTTTTACAGGGAATTGGTTGATTGGATTAGAGGAGCAGGAGCCCCTAATGAGCAGCGGCTGCTTAACAAAATGCTGAGGCAGATACAATTTTCCTTTGTCACCATCAGCGATGGCAGCATCCATGGGGACCCCCTTGATGCCAAAGGCACTTCAGAATGGCACTCCAACTGGGTTTGCCTTCTTTGAATATCCTTCTAGGTCCCAGACATCCCAGAAGAGGTAGAGAGCAAGGTGTTAAAAGCACAGGTTTTGGGATAGGACAAAAGATCTTTTGTCTGCTGAAATTACTGTGTGACCTTGGGCAACTCATTTCCCTCTCTGTGCCTCAGAGACCTACCTTCCCAGGGTTGTTGTGAGGACTAAATGAAGTCAAACACATAAAGTGTTTAGTACAGTGCCTGGCACACAGTGAGAGCCTAATAAAACAGTAGCCCAGAAGATAAAGATGAAGAATAAAGGCAGCCCCCACCCCAGAAGGCCCCGGAAGGAGGTACACAGTTTCCCACGCCCATCTAATGGAAGCATTTTAGCAGTTGCCCCAACCACCTCCTAGGGAATGCTCCAGAGGGAATTTCCCAGTCTGCGAAATGGGTTGTGATTTATGTTTCCAAGTAAATTTTAATTCAGTTTCGTGTCTGATCCAAAAGGGCAAATTGAGGGCGGGAACCCTCAGGTGGGAAGAAGGGGAGGTGCTCAAATTAAGTTTCCCAAGGCTGCCCCCTCCCATCCTGCATGTGTCTGATCCGAGACCTGCTCTCCTGAGGAGTCCCTGGAGTAACCCCATCAGCGAGCACCCCTGGATCCAGGCAGTACCTGAAAGGGTTAAGTGATAGGCCAGCGGTCAGAGAGAGCACCATCAGCCTAGCCCAGCGTGCGTTTTGCGCCTGTGTGAGTTCGCCTCTCCGAGCCTCAGTCCCCTTGCTCTCCTGTAAAGTGGGGATAATCACGGCTCTGTGACACGGCTGGGGAGAGAGTGGAGGTGACTGACGGTGGCACCTCGCCCCCGCCCCTGCCGGCACGGCGTTCCGGGGGCGGACGCGGCCCGGGCGCGCAGCCGTCGCCGCCAAGCGGACCTCGCGGCCCAGGAGGCAGCCGCCGTCCACGCCCCGGCGGGCGGATTCCCCCGCGGCCTCCCGCGCCGCGCGGCGGGGACCCGGGTGATTGCAAACAGCCGCCGGCCTCATTAGGAGACGTGTAATTAGCGGCTGGCGGAGCCGGAGCTGGCACCGGCTAATTACCGCGGGGAGCGGGCTACACAGCCGACACCGCCCGCCCCAGGCTACCGCGCTGTCTGGACCCTGGTGGGGCCGGCGGGGGCCGGGCCTGGTCCGAGGAGGGGAGGCCCGGGACCGCCCCAGCGTGCTTCCTCCGGGGGCTAGGCCTGCGGGGAGGAGTAAATCATTCATTCAGAACAGCGTTTACTGTGCGTTCACAGCCAGGCGTTTTGCCCACGTTGTCTCCTTTAAATCTCGTTTCCACCCACGAGGGAGGAGCCATTATTATCCCATTGCACAGATGAGGAAACTGAGATCTAGAGACGTGAATTAACCTCCCCGACAGCACGTGGCTGGAAATTGAGGGAGAAGGGATTCGACCCCACGTTTGTAGTCTCTGCATCTTACACGAAGTGGGCAAGCGAAACCATGCACAGGACGTCAGCCGAGTAGACGAGAGCCAGACCTGGAGTCGGATGGCTTTGGATTCGAATTCTCTCCTGCTCCATATTGGATGTGTGACTTTGGTTTGAGCCCCAACGGCAGGCATAAAACGGGCGCGGCGTTGGGATTAAGTGTGTTGAGGCTGGGAAGTGCTAGGGGCGTTATTTTAGAGACGGGAGTGGGAGGAGGTGCTGTGAGGCGGTGTCTTTCTCCACGCACTACGGGCCTCTGACGCCCCCTGCTGGCCAAGGGAGGACGCTCATCCGTTTTTGGATAATGAGGTTATATTCTTGGGGGAGGAGAGAGTAGACACACTGGTCCCTCAGCGGGGCCACTGCTCTCCCTCCTCCCCTTCCTTCCTCAGCATCCTTCCTTTAAGGTGGCGAAGAGTGAGACAGGGGAAAATTGAGAACTCATTCCACATAATCTTGCAAATAATCAGTTGTGAAACCCGCCTGCCTTCATAGACCTCACAGGGCCAGCCAAGTCCATGACAGTTCTACAAATAGCCAGGGATGGGTATAAAGACCTAGTTACAAGGCTGTACATCAAAGTGCTGGGTATAACAAGAAAATCTGGAACTAATTTAAACGTCCATCATGGGAAAATTGACCAATTTAACAGCGGTACATCCAAACAATGCAAGACTGTGCAGCTGAAAAATCACATTGTGGAAGAGTTGACATAGAAATATAGTCAAACAACAGGAATGATGAATCTTACAGATATGCTGAGCAAAAGGAGCCAGACACACACACACAAAAACGTGCTGTTGGATATTTATATAATATAGAGTTCAAGAACAGGCAAAGCTAATCTATCATGATAGAAGGCAGAACAGAGGTTACTTCTGGGAAGGTTTTTGACTGGGAAGAGGGCACAGGAACCTTCTTGGGTGCTGGAAATGCTCTATGTCCTAATCTGGGTGATGGTTACACCAATCTATACATATATAAAAATTCATTGAATTGTACACTTAATATGCAGTTTATGTATGTTATACCTCAATTAGTTTTTAAAAAAGATTTTCAAGCAGAAAAAAAGTACTAAACAGTATGATCCTATTTTTAAAAAGAAAATAAAAGGAAAAATATAATTTAACATAAGGCAGCAGCTCTCATCTCAAACTTTTTGTCTCAGGACCCTTTTACACTCAAATTATTGAGAATCCCAAAGAGCTTTTGGTTTTGTGGGATATATTGATACTTACCATGGATATTAAAACTGAGAAATGTTTAAAATACAATACACAATTCTATTAGCAGTCAGAGCAATAATGTCAGCACATATCATTGTAGCCTCTGGAAAACTTTACTGTCCACTCTGAGAGAGGGAAAAAGGCAAATAACATCTTAGTATTATTACGAAAGTAATTTAGACGTTCAGGATTCCCTGAAACAGTCTCAGAAAACCCAGTGGTCCCTGGATCTCACTTTGAGAACCACTGGCTCAAGCGGAAAACGACCGAAGAACACATCCTACATGATAAATTGTTCTCTCTGGGTGCTAGGATTATAACATTTTTATTTGCTTCTTTGTGCTTTTCTGTTAAAAAACTGGAAAATATAACGACCACAGATTGTTTTTGCAAACAAAAAACGAGACAATACACCTGTCTCCATAAGATTGTTGAAAAGCCCAAACAGTAATAACATATTTTGGTGTATGGAAAAATTAACTTGAGCTCTAACTTGAAAATAAGGGTCCCATTTCCCGCGTCAATTTCTGGCTTGTAAATGCAAAGTCTTGCCCTCAAAAGTTCCACCGTCCAGCTTGGGGAGAGAATATAAATGCATACACAACTGTATTGCAAGGTAACAGAAAATAAACGTCTCGAGGGCCCCAAATGCAGTGGCTGCATCCTACACAGTATTGCAAACTCAGGCGTGGAGCAGAACCACCCGTCACAGATAGAAGCCGCTGAACCCCAGAAGCCAGCTGCCAAACGACTAATTCAGAGACTCTCTCAGCAGCACGCACGCGCTCTGCAAACGCAGAGGGAGGCGGAGCTTGAGAGACTGACACTGGGCTTGGCCTCTCAACATTCTAGCTCCGCCCACCTATCCCGCCTCCCTCTCTGAGTGGCTGCAAGACTGCGGAGGCTATCTTCCCATTGGCCGCTGGTGGAAACGCAGACGTCCGGTTTGCGCGTCCGGCCGCCGGGCGAGGAGGCGGCCATGGTGCGGTTCAAGCACAGGTAAGCGTTCCTTCCCGCTGGGTCCCTGCGGCCCTGGCCCCGCGCTCACCTCCCTCTCGCCCGCCGCAGGTACCTGCTCTGCGAAGTGGTGTCTGACGACCCCCGCTGCCGGCTGAGTCTAGAGGACCGAGTGCTGGGCAACCTCGTACGGGACACGATCGCCCGCTTGCACGGGACTTTCGGCGCGGCCGCCTGCTCCATTGGTTTTGCCGGTGCGAGGGTGCTGGGGAACCGGAAGGACAGCGGGATTTGGAGGGAGCAAGGGTCGGAGGGGGGAGAAAGAAGGGGCAAGAGAGACCTAGGAGCTGCCAAGCCCGATGCACCATCCTCTCTACGATATCGTCCTCTTGAGGCGTCTGGGACCCCGAGCCCGAGGTCTGGACAATCCGAGGTTAGGCGGAGATCTAAGAGCAGAAGGCAGTGGAACTTTGGGCAAGAATGCCCTGTACTTATTTGACGTGTGTATATTGGGGACTGCGATTGAATTTAATAGGATGGTTAGAATTAAATGAGGGGAGCCGTGTATAGTTCCGGGCAAGTTATTTGACTAGCTACATTGACATCACATGGAAAAAACATATTGATAAAATTATCTCTGAAAAGCCCTTAATAGGGCCGGTAAGGTACAGAACACACATAGTGTGTACATAAATGAGGAAGAGGGCCCTCCCCACAGCCACACTATCTAAATTCTTCCCTTCTTTTACCATATGCTTGAAATGGAATCCTGGAGAAATGCACATAAGCACAACTTTCCTACATTAGGTGAGACTCCCTTGGCTGCTGCAAGAACCTATAGAGCCCAGATACAGTAGAACAACTTGTTTTTCAGCCAAGGGTTTTCTGAGGAAGATGGATCTCCACCCCTACCCTCATCCCCATTTACTGAGTTAACTAGTCAGTGAATTAGAAGAGCATTTAAAATTCGAAATTCATTCAACAATTCTGAGTGGTGCGTAAGGCACTGGGTGGTGGTAATCCCCCTTCCATAAATGAAGGTCCTAAAATTTTTTTTTCCTTCAGGAATCTGTTTTTACTACTGATGCATCCCAAGTGCCACTGCCTTGAACATTCTCTGGCACATAGTAGGCTCTTGGTTACCCTAAAATTTTTAACCTGCTCCTGAGAATCCACTTTCCCCAAATGATTCTTTCTTTCCTGCTGCAGTGCGATACCTCAATGCCTATACTGGAATAGTGCTACTTCGATGCCGGAAGGAATTCTACCAGCTTGTGTGGTCAGCTCTTCCCTTCATCACATACTTGGAGAACAAAGGACACCGTTACCCCTGTTTTCTCAACACCTTACATGTGGGAGGTAGGGGTGCATGTGGTATGGCTGCTGATTTTCAATAGGTAACAGGCTCAGAGTTCAGTCTTAACTGATGGGTGAGTCTTCCTGCTATCCTGCCATGAACAAGATACTTTCCCCTAGTTCTGTCTTTGAGGCAGACGCCTTTCACAAGCTGTTGACCACAAAGCTCTTTCATGTGCCAGGTACAATTAGAACATGTCAGAAGTTCCTGATTCAGTACAACAGGAGACAGCTGTTGATCTTGCTGCAGAACTGCACTGATGAAGGTAAGCAGCACTAGCCCAGTGCCCACGGAGCAGTGACTGACCTCTTCTAGCTGAGTAAGAGGTTACTCCCAAAGACATCTTTCATCCCTGCTTTTGCTGTCTGCCTTTCTCCAGGAGAGCGGGAAGCTATCCAGAAGTCTGTCACAAGAAGCTGTTTACTAGAAGAGGAGTCTGGTGAGGAGGAGCTGTCAGACAGTGGTGGTGAGGAGGCTGCTGAAGCAATGGAGTGAAGCTCTGCAGGCTGCACTGTGCTCAAGCCTCAGGACCCACTTGTTGGAACAGGACACTAGGAGGCAGCGGCATCTTCTACAATTCTCCAGACTGGATGAGTGGCAAACACAGGCCAAGTTACCAACTCGAGGTGGAGGACTTATTCACTTAAAATAAACTGAGGTCACCTTTACCTAGCGTTCCTAGTTAAGTGTTTATACAGGTTATGAACCCCTTACAGTTACAGACATCTTTGTATTCTAATTGCCTGGCCAAGAACAGTTTTAATAAATGTATTTGGCTTCTCTAGCACTTAGCATACTTACGAAGTTCATGACTTGGCCAAGTCTCTTTCCCCCTCTACCCCTGGCCTCGGTGGGAAGATTGGCTCCCTATGTGGTAGTGGATGCATAGCCTCCCATCTGAGGCCCTGTATCCCCAGACCCTAGGACGGGCCCTAAGCAAACAGTCATTTAGAGCAGAAAAGTATTAGTGAGACTCAGCTGGTCTCAGTAATGACTCACAGGGCCTTAAAAATACCAGATTCCTTGCCAATACTTAATCAGGTAACTTGATAAAAAATGCAGTTCTTGCACTTTTCTTGAGGGGGAAAAACCTGGCCTCACCTGACCTCATTATTACAAAGCCGAGTAGCAGCTGCCAACTTCTGGTAGTTTTCTGTTCCACCCTTCCCTCTTGCCTTACACCTGAAGCCAGGTGAGACTGCCACACACACACACGGATTAAGAGGGATGAGAGACTTGTGGTCAGTTTTGATCTGCTACCCACTAATGACATGACATTTCTCAGATCTGTTTTCTCCATAATAAAATGGATGTCACTCAAAGTACCTTACACATTCAACAGAAAGATTTGTGCTTTTTGCTTCAACATGCCCCCTCATCTGAGGGCTGGAACACCCTAATCCACCCAGGAGAGTTCCTGACCCAGGGTCTCTGAACCTCTTCCTTTTAAGAATTGCAGGTTAAAGCTAAGCCCAGCTCAAGAACCCTTGAGGCCTGACACTAGGAAAGACATTACTCCATGACAGCAGAATTGCTCAAGCTCATAGTAGCTGTTACTTTAATCTAGTGAAGAAGTATGTCTAGCTGACCTGTAATGAACTTTAAAAAACCAGAAAGCTCACATTGCTTCTGCAGGTGCTTTATTGCAACTATTTGCCTTCACATTCTATTACACCTGGAGGTCACTTTATTAAGCAGCAAAAGAATTCACATCACTCAAATTCAGCTCAAACCAGGGCATAAGACTGCTCTAAACACAGAGGGGTGCAGGGCAACCCCACTGCTTTCAAAGCTGCCCTGCTCTGCCTCCAGGTGTGCCAGACTCTGCTCCTACAACTCAGGCCCCTGTCACTCGAAACAGCTTGATCTAAAGGTTGGCAGGTCCCAGGGCTTCCTCAGTTAGTGACAGTTACAGCTTTCCTTGCTAAACAGAAGCCATGTTCAAGAGGCAAAACCCTCCATCACACATGCAAATGCAACCTAGGTCTGGCACCACAGCCTGGGCATTTGTCAGAAGAAAAATGGCAATTCAAGCTGGGTATCCTAAATCCATTTAATTCCCACCCTTCTGTTTCTTTAACAAGAGGAGAACAGAACAGATAGAAAAGATTCAACTATTTTTAAATGACAGACTGGTAGGTATGCTGAAACCATGATGCCTTGACATGTCAGAGCAGTGCTGGTGCTGCTATACCACTGGTTTGGGCTGCTCCAAGGGATGTTGAAGGGACTCAAACTTATTTGGGGTTGAGAAAAACTAACAGGAGTCAAACAGACTAAGCTGGCAATGAACTAAAAACCTTGGCAGGAAGAGATCTCTTATGAGTGTCAATACTTTATTTTGGTGTAAAGACAGGAAGCTGGAAAATACACTGTATTTAAAATTTTCTTGGTTCCCCCTCACACTGTGGAAACCCCCTCCCCCCAGAGCTAATCTGTCCAAACTCAAATACTTAAAAATCACAGCAGCAAAACAAAAGCACGGAAAAAAGAAAACGAAACAGAGAAGGTAGCCTGGGCCAGTAGTGTCACTTGGTGTGGACGACTGAGGTGCTGAACAGTAGCTTCTGTTTCTGTTTTTTTCTTTTCTTTCCTCCTTTCTCTTCTAGAGGGAAACACAGAAAGAGAGCTTAGCTTAGAATGCCATCCCCTTGTCCCCTGGCCAGTTTTCGTTACTGAGAGTCAGAGGAAGTAGGAATGCAGGCTTTGGAATTAAGACTGCCTGGATTCACATACCAGTCCTTGCACACTCGAGGTGTTTACTTTTGGGCAAGTCACTTTACATCCCTAGACCTCCCTTTCCTCATCAGTAATGTAAGAGTTATACCCATTTAATAGGGTTATTGAGAGAATAAAATTAGCACAATGCCAGGCACATAGAAAGCACACCATAAATGTTAGTGTTACTCTTGTCTAATGAATACCACAGAGTTGGGGTGGGCTTCGAGCCTGACTTTTCCTTCTATTAGCCACCCTTTACTAACTCAGGATTCTAAAATCCACCCTCCACTTCTGTGTCTTAGAAGGGGAAAAAAAAACATCCTCAGAATTTCACATCTAGGCCTCAAGAATTAATCTGGGGTAGCAAAAAGGTCCTGATATACCAAATGGAATGTTAGCTGACACTATAACGTGAGCCTAGAGGCTCAGAGGGAAAGTGCCCGACTGACTGATGATGTCTGCCACTGGATCCAGGTGGGAATGACAACCCTGAGCTGAGCACTCCACTCCTTTGCCTTTACCAGAGAGGGGATCCGAAGTAGCCGGTGTGTCCAGCTTCATGAAGGCTGCTTCAATAGCTTGGCTGAAGGAATTCTGGAAGCTGGGCACAGGAACACGGTCCGAGTTATCACTCTCCCCGTCACTGTCCACAGGTGCAGGAGGAACTAAGCTGTTTTCATCTAAAAAATACCAGTGTTACCATTCTAGAAACAACTCTAGAGCCTTGTACTTTCTGAAAGGGGTCAATTTCCCCTTCACCAGAGGGCCATCCTCACCTTTCTTTGGAGCAGTTTTGGGCCACACATCTGCTTTTGCTTTTCCAACCCTTAGCATCTGCCAAAATGGGAAAGGGAGGGAAACAGAATTTAAGTAACTGGTCCAATTTCTTTGCCAGACTCCTGCCTCGACACTAACTGGTTACGGGGACAAAGAACCAACTATCACCTCTGGAAAAAAGATTTTCTAGGTACTTTTCCCCTTAACACATTGTTTTGGTCATGTCCTCTATATCCTGACCAATGGAATTGGCAGTGAAACCCACAAGGTGGGAAACCAGAAGCTGTTGTGTTCCTTAGGAAACAGGTAAATATTGCAAAGAAGGAACAAGAGGTTCTTACCCAGACTCGCAAGTTGGGAATCCTGACTTTGTGTCATTGCCTGCTTCTGACAAATTTTCCTGCTCTTCTTAGGACCCCTAAAAACATCAACCTCTTGGAGTAAGCAGTGTGTAGTACCCTCCAATTTTAAAACAAACCACCTGGCAATCGAACTTCAGTTATTTAAGGCCATGAAAAGAATAACTTGATCCTGAAACTGCTCCAACAGCCTTCATTACGTTTTATAGTCTTTGCTTTTTCAATCGCTCCTTATTTATTAACTTTTAAATCCAGGCATAGACCAGATTCCTACAAGTATAGTAAAATCAGAACAATCCTTTCTGCCCAAGAAACTTTTTCATCTCACTTGGCCAAGGCCAGCTTTGTAATGGTTGAGGGCCACTATGAGTCCCATCTGCCACACATGCTGTGCAACTCAAAGCAGGGTGAATTTTACTCCTGGAAAAATACAAAGAGACAAGCTCCACAAGATTCAAGTAGGAATGCCTCGACCTAAAGTATGTTTCCCACAGTGAGGCTTGCATGTTATTCAAGATCAGTTGGATTGGCAGACAATGATTTCATTGAATAACTTTTCTTCATCATGTCCCACTTTGATGATCTCCCTGGGTCCCTGGGAGTTTGGGGTCCAAATACAGAAAGGCATCCAATCATCTTTTTTTTTTTTCCTTTTGGCTAAGGAAGATTCACCCCGAGCTAACATCTGTGCCAATCTTCCTCTATTTTGTATGTGGGTCACAGCCCCAGCACGGCCACGAGTGGCATAGGTCCGCACCCGGGATCTGAACCTGGGCTGCAGAAGTGAGGCACACTGAACTTAACCACTAGGCTACTGGGGCTGGCCCAGAATCATCTTACTCTTAAAAGGTCATTAAAACATATATCACCTATGTTTTATTCTTGCCACCAAATGTTTAAATGTTTGATCTGAATCCACTCATGAAGGAATAATCAGACAAATCCCAACTGTAGAACATTCTATAAAGCAACTGGTATGGATACTTCAAAAATATCCATGACATGGGCAAAAAAAAAAAAAAAAAACAGAGGCCAGAGGAACTGTTATGGATCAAAGGAGACTAAAGAGATTTGACAACTAAATGCAATCAGCAAACTTTGACTCCGACTGAAAATACAGGACACTGGGACAAATGGCAAAATAGAAATATGTACTACATTAGATATTGAATCAGTTGTAATTTTTTTGATGTGATAATGATAAACGTGGTTATATAGAAGAATGTCATTTTGGGGGCATGTATCTCCTAAGTATTTAGTGGTAAAGTGTCATTCATG